AGAATTTCAACAAAAAACATCTAAAATAATCTAAATTTAAAAAATAGTTATCCAAATATACGAAAGTTACATGTTCAATAAAGAAAAAAACGAAAATTTTGCCATAAAGAATAATAATTATTTATATTCATAAGTAGTGTAACTGAAGTATTTATCATGAGAAGAATTGAAAGCTTGTTGCCTCATGACCTGTGTGTATGTATTTCAATTAAATTCTTGTCAACTTTTTGCTGCTGTTGGTAAGTGGCTTGAACGTCAGTTAACAACTTAAACATGTACACAATATTTATGAATGTAATTTTTTTCTCTCTACAATCTCCGAATATCAAACAGACTAATATTGAATATTGCAAAGATACAAGATTTATTGAAGATCCTGTAAGTAAGTAGAACTAGGGATTTGTTCAAAAAGAATTGTTTTAAAACAATTGTTTTAAATCAAGTTTTTTTCTGCCTGTTTTCCTCCACATCGTGGCGTCATAACAGATTAGTTGAGGCGTCTTTGCATCAGAGGACTCTTTCAATTAACATAGGCCAAGCTAGCGTGTCTCATTCGCCGTCGATGTAAGCATATTCTTCATTATCTCAACCCACTCGTTTTGCCGAAGGCTGCCATTCATCTAATTGATTTTATAGTAGGCATGTAAGCTAATTTTTATAATTTTTCTTACTTAAAACGTCTCTTTGATATCCAGGTTAAAATCTAATGACTTTTGTGGAGATACGAAAGCCGCCATAAATGTACGCAATAAAAGTAAAAGTCAAAATGGGAATTTTCTCTTATATTTTTAAAATTAGAATTCCGGCTGCATGTACAGCTGCCCGAATGCCACGTTTTGGCGTAGTTTCGCGGCGATGCAAGGGGTATTTCAATAAAAAATACAGAAAAAATTTGATTTAAAACAAGCCCTTGTTTTAAAACACGATGTTTTATTTAGAATTGATAAAAAACAAAACCCTAAGTAGAACATTGAATACTTAAAACATTCTTTATTTTTTTTTCAAATCAAATGATATTTCGCGGCCTTCCGAGTTCTCCCGGAAAATGATGTTTACCAGACGTCAGATGTTAAAATATTTTTGCAATTTATTTAGAAGAATTTCTATTTTTTAGGACACACTGTTTCCGAAAATACAAAATTATATCGTAAAACAAAAATTCAATGAATCCATTCCTATGGTTCAAGCTCGACACACGTTTGGTCGAGTGTCGGGCGGTATTGTTGACGATAAATTAAAAAAAGTTGTCACACGTTGAGGCAGCTCTTCTATTCGGCCATATACTATCGAAGGACATTAAGCAACATTATTATATAACGATAATAACTGAAAAATTAGATTTTAGTACTAAAAAGTGTATAATACGCGATTTGTTTCAACGAAGTATTTATAGATCACATAAATTTTGAACAATTCAAGGCAAAATGCATTCGTTAAAATTCTTATATTCCACTGTTCAGACTGTTTGGTGGAAAATAAAATCCAATCAATTTATTTTTTTTTAATTATAATACATCAATATGGTGGGGGAATTTCCAAATTTAAATAACAATAAAAATAGAATAGGATTCGGTATTCTGAATTCGATTTAAGTATTCTAGAATAGTACATTATTCTATATTGCACATCCCTACTTACAGGGGTAAAATTAGTGAACAACAATATTTCCTGATTTCAGATTTTTGCATAACTGCATAACAACAGCATTCAGTTCACGCCACTTTCAGAGTATTCAATACTTGACAATATTTTAGCTAGCCTCTCTCCTTGTTTTGAACACTATTAAACTTGACTGGAAAGCTTTTCTGTAATAAATCCACAAAACCTATCTTTATGTACTGTTAGGTACTAGTGAAATGAACTTCAATTCTTTGTCACTAAAGAACAAATGCAAAATAAGATTTGTCCAAATAATCTAAATATATCTGAATGAATGCTGAAATAATTCAGAAAATAATCTAACATCTAAATGGGTATTTCTTACATCTAAATCATACGAAAATAATCTAAAACTAGATTAAAATAATCCAAGTTGGTAACACTGGTTTAGGTAACTTGTTTGTGCAGTAAATTTTTTGATCTAACATTGATTCTTCTTCTTTATTTTTGACGTATATATATATTTTTTTACGTGTTTAATTGATATTCATTTGTGGCCTACATATTTTTTTTTTTATAAATTTTGTATTGCCTCATATGCGGTGGAGGCCGGGCTTACTAGCGAATGACTGTTGTTATAGATCTGTGGTTCCCAAAGAGGGATCTGCGTACCTTTTGGGATCCGTGAAGCACTTTCGGCGGGTCCGCGAAAGAAAGTTGTTATATGGTTCATAGCTTGATAATACAAAAATTAAGTGCTCAAATTTGCAAACACACACTTGTCGCCTTTTGCTGCTTCGCAATCACTGCTGGAGACACTGATTCTTCACTTACTTTTTTGATCACGCAGCCCCATTGTGATGTCACAAAGCTGTGGACCTGTGATATCACAGAGAGAGTTCAATTGCTGCCAATACAAGTTAACTAACTGCAGAGGTGTAGCCGACAATGCCTTTTTGCATGTTTGTTAGTTTATGGGCAAGTTACAGTATGCAGTTGAAGGAATGCCAGTTTGCTTTTAAATGCTGTTTTACAACGAAACAAGTGCACCCATCTCATTAAACTTCATCATATACATTTATTCGTTTTAATGTTTTTCACTATACGGCGCATTGATTTTTTGTTGTGATCTTCTAATAATCTAACGTTTTGTTTTGGTGCACAAGGCCGGGAATCATTTAAAAAAAATTGCAAGGGGTCCGTAATGAAATATTTTTTTAAAAGTTTGGGAACCAATGTTGTAGATTAAAGCACTAAAACAGAGGCACAGGTGCCAAACTTGGCATGGATGAAACTCAAATGATACGAAAATAATCATCTTCGCAAGAGATGTCGTCTGCTGCGGATTTGGGCGGGATGGTTGGCAGTTCGTTCTGTTGCTGGTTGCGAGGGTTTGCGCAATGTCGGTTATGGTAAGTTTAGGCTAGGCAGATTATTCAAGTCGGTTATACGCTAGGTACTTGGTTACTGATAACTGGCGACGAGAATTTCAGCAACGTTTGAATGGCGAGTGTAGTACGCCTACACGGACGGTACTCTCAGATTGAATTAAATATAATGGAGCGTATAGTGGGTCTGCAGTAGTGAATACATAGTTTACCTCTGGTATATTTAAAATATCACGGATACATCAATACCTTACTGCAACTATTTATATATTCAGATATCACTGCTCTAGAGTCGTGATTGATACTGCAAACACGGTTTCTCGTCCGGTTGGTTACCAGTCGATATTCGCGTATGGTATTAGTCGGCCCGTTATTATTTTGCTTTTGAACTGAATCAACAATCAAGTTGCTGAAACTTGCTAATGTTTATTTAGACATTTGAACCTTGGGTGTCGCTGCTTGATAACCAGCTTTGGTTCCCCGCGACTTCCTTCCCCAGTGAAATATGTATTCAATATTATTCGTCTGAACATTGCATGTTAATTTTTTTTCACTGGATGAAAAAAATAAACTTGACTATGACATAAAAGATAGCCCCTTTTATTCGATCCGAAACTCGTACTAATCAATATTTCAAACTTTTGATTGGGAAAGTATCTGTTTACCTTGAATTTCCTGCATTACCAAATTCTAACTCATCCTTCATATACAGACTCCTTGGGCATTTTTGTTGACTGCCCTCCCTAATTTAGAGTATATTCTATAAACAAAAATAGGGGTTCCCGAAGTATGCGAACCAAGATGGCGGACATCGGAATGTAATATGTGTACTAGGTTAGGGTTAGGCCATAATTTTAGCTATAAATACTACGGGAGGCTCTTGACTAGTCTTCGAACTGATAATAGGACTAAAATAAGGAAAATTGGAAAAAAATTATCGCCTAACCTGTTACCCATGTTACGTTCCGATGTCCGCATTCTTGGTTCGCATACTTCGGGAGCACCCAAAAATATTATTTTAGAGTGCATTCAGTATAGTAAATTTTTATCCCTGTCTTCAGGTAAATGCTCAAAACTACACCAATAAAATTTACAAACAATCCGAAACTTTAATCGTTTCATCATAACTGAAGATTTCAGAATTACAAACGTATGCGATTTAACAAGCAATTACAATTCAACCTATAAAATTTTCTTTCAGGAGATTCTCTTCCTGGTCCGGCCGATAAGTACAGATGGTGTATCTGGAAGGCTTTATAGCCGCTAGGTTTCAGGACTATTTTCTGCACTAGTGTATTGTTTTTGTTGCCTTTATGTGTTCAACATAAATACCCGAAATCGGCAGCAAGAACCTACGAATTTATACAAAGGTATGTTTAAAATATTTATGTTCTCCTAATAATGTTCCTGGCTGTATTTGTTAAAGGAAGTTTAAACTGTGGCTCAAAATTAGGGCAAAATACCCATATCTCGCTGAAGATCATTTGGCTTTAGCAGCATACGGCTTGTCTTGTATAAATATTTATGGTTTATATACAATTCAGACGATAAAAGACAAATTCGGGCTTCTCAAATGTTTTATTGGGGGGTCGCTCTATCAAAACGATTGACCTTCGTTGACTTGAAATTTCGTTATGATGGCCATAATACCTTTGAGTGCCACGAACAAGACCGCCATTAACTATTGTGATGCGGTATGAAAGAAGGATTGCGCCGGACCCGGTCTCGATAAATAAGAATAATGACTGTAAATTAAGATTTTATAATAGGACATAAATTTTTGTTTACATTTGATCATCTTGAGTAGTAAATAGCAATAGAAGTAACTGTACTTTAAGAGTCTTGCATGTATAGAATGACCACGTTGATTTATATGTGGTTATAATTATAATGGGTACTCAAATCCTAAGCGCGGGGCCTATGTACGCGCTGGAGCCACCACGGCCCACTTATTTTTTGGCATTCCACTATACTTGTGATACAATTCAGAATATTTCACCCATTGCCAGATAACTGGTGATTTATTCTTTGTTTCTTGACAGTAGTTTTATTTCTATGCATTTCTCGATTCTAAACACTGCCGTTCTAGTAAGTAAATTCTGGGCATCAAGTAAGTCCGGTTAAATGATAAAAAAGTTGAGCTCATGCTTGTGCTTGGTGTTAATATCTGATATATTACATACTGCCGATGTTATTAAAGCCGTAGTTTGTTTCAGAATTTTAGTATAACTTGGTAAATGAAATATGAAATTTTATCAAAACATAAAACACATCTCAGCCATAAAAAAATATAATTTTAAACTGTATGGCCGCCAAACATCTGGTGATAAACGGAAACTCAAACATTTGTTATTAGGCTACTACTTTATTAGATATTTGATTACATCTAAAACGTTCAGGATATGCTCAAAAAATCATTAATTCAAACAACTCTAACACACACAAGAATGGTTTGACAGGGACAATTATATTCTGTTCTTGGTAAAATTTGTTGCTTAGACATTTTTCACAAAAATATAATCTGATTTCACTTTTAATATTGGAATACAAACTTTTAAACCCTAATTTTAACACTCAATGTCCATTTAACACTCTTGTGTGATGTAGAGTGACACAGATTTCTTGGTTTATGTACAAGTTGTAATGAAACAATTTACAAGCAAATTTGTTAGAAACTTATTTGTATTTTGCCCAGTGTTTCTATGGGAACTCTGAATTGAATAGGTTACGTAATGATAACAGCTAATATCAAACAGTAATTCCAAAATCGATAAATTATGCGTCAATGCATATTTGGAGCATGCATTGACATCGTATAAGACCATATCCAAATAATTCGATTTCTGCTAGTCAATCAACTTCACTCTTGTATTACTTTAAACTTGAATAATAATAATCTTGCTTCGGGAGGGCATATTTTACATACGACTTTTGACAAGGAACATTTCAATAGAAAAAACTTCAATTAAATTAGTTGATTTGGGCATCGTGTGATTGCTATAAGAATAATATAAACAGAAAACTTCAATGATACTTAAGATTTTAAAATAAATCAAATTAACATAATTATCATTTAAAACAGATTATTTTGCATGTAGATATTCAGAGAGTATACGGGAAAAACTACAGTAGGCAATCAATGTTCCAAAAACTAATTTTTATTTTGGAAACATCATGAATTTTTTACAAATCACTCGAAAAACAAAGCCAATATATATTTTGGCTATGTTTCATTATTATTCTCTGGAAGCTTAATTCCTTTTACAGAAAGGCGAAAAAGATGAGAGATATGCTTGAAACATATTTCATTTGGAATCCTCTCATACCAATCTGGAGTGTTCTCCTCGATGAATTCCAGATAGGAAAATACATTTTCTGTCAAGCTGTGAAAACAAAACAATCATTTTATTGTTCAAAATGGAATCATATTGGCATCCTAGATCAGTAGAGTCGAGCCACATTTATTATACAGCAAATATTTTTTCAGCAAGCTATTGTATGTCATGAATACCATAGTTATCTAATTGCATTCCTAGCATATTTTTGTGCTGATTTAGTTTTGTTAGAATTAGCTCGAAAATGCAACAGACAGAGCATTAATTCACCAAATTTGCAACTTCACACTTTTTTCACAAAAATGCTCTATATCATGTGTTCTCAACCGGGGGCCATGACATAAGGCTAATATTTAATCATAAAGCGACTTCATTTGCATACGTTCCTTTAAAAATAAAATTTTCCGTTCAGGCGTTCACCACAGTTTCATTAGCTGGATAGGTTACTTGTGGTCACAGGGTGTATCCTGTGCGTGAATTGTTTGATCATAATAGAATTTAAAATCTACAAATCAAAATAGTTCACTGGGAGGCCGTCTAAACTGCAGACGGCGTTTTCACTAGACTGCGAGATAACCTTCACTATCATATTATAGACGCAAAAACCTATATATATGAATTCCTAATGCCCGAATACGAAAATGGAACGACAGTTACGTTGGCTTTACCAAAGTAAATATAGATGAGAGAGAATGTGCGCAATGCCTGCATTATTCGTATGTAATGAGCAATGAATCATTATGTCCATCTAAACTGCGGAAGACGTTGACATGGGTTCCTTGGCTGCTAAGCGAGTTAGCTTTGACAAGAAAGCAACACTTGTCAAGATCGGAAACAAAATTTAGAAACCGCCTTGATGTTTACAGTGATATTTGTCAGGCTATATCAAAGACGGTGCCTAATATAAGAAACCTTGTCAGACAGTCCCAAGCGCAAGATTCCCATTGATTGTATAAAATCTGGACTTTGTTTTTGCATTCCATAAAGGTCGTAAAAATAATACAATACAATTCAACACGTCAGGGGGGTGGGGGCTTTGGGCAAGAGTGCAACAATCCGCCGAAAGGGGGCCACCACGAGCCATAAAATGTTGGGAACCACTGCTCTATATGATGAAATTGAAAATACAAATACAGTGTGAATGAACTTTTGGAATATAAATTATGAAAGTTACTATTGTTTGTGAATTAGTCTGGTCTTGACTTTTATGAATACGAGTCTTGAAATATTATTAACGATCGGTATTTTGGAGTCGATAATAATTTAAACTTTATTTTTCAAGTCAATGTATTTATCGAAAAACTCGGGGTTACGAAAATTTTGACGCGACTGTGTCTTCGCATTCTGATTTGAAATAAGATCTGACTTTGAAACCTGTTTCCCTCTCAGAAAAATACCAAAAACTTGAGCATAACTTCTGTGAGTATCTATTGAAAATGTCTAATCAACAGGATGATTTTTCAGTCGGGTTTAGAACTTTGACTCTAATCATCACCATTTGAAGTCTAAAATTACAATTTCGAAGATTGCAAAATATCAACCTCGAATTCAGTTAGTTTGAAAATATGACTCCAGCTCTGACACATATATGAATAACCAAATTCTAATTCATGTCACTGGTTATGATTTCATACTTGCCTCCAGGTTGGAGTGAAGTCGGGAACTTTTATTAACATTTCATTAACTCGCTGTTGAAATAAATTCATGTCAGTGTGATCGAATGCATCTTTCAGTCTTCGTAGAACATCCTCATCTTCAATTTCCTCTTGGGTAACTGAAACGCAAAGTTTTTATGCTTGAATATGTTAATTTAGCTTGTAAGTAGATATAATGAACTAAATGTATGACTCGTGTTTTACAGCCAGTATTCTTGTTGTAATGGATAGTGCCCGGTGTCAAGCAAATTTGATCCAGAAAACATTTTAGTGACATTAGCTAATACAATATGATTTAAGGATAATCAGTTTCTTCTTTGGATGGGAAAAAAAAGGTGATGGGAAACCATCTCCAGCCCATGTCAGCACAAGGATAGTTTACCAATTGTTTGTTTCAGATGCATGGTCTTGGTGATAGAGGAAGATGTAACGTTGCGTAGTGGTAATAAAATTTTATCAAAAACATCACATTAAAAATTTATACATATAATTACTGGAGCTGGAGATTTGTTCTTGGCAGCCCTACATGTTATTATCCCATGGTAGTTGCGGGTAACTGACTTATAAACTGTCAGATTCAAGTCAGAATTCTTGTTCTGCTTGTAGTTGCAGTAAGCAGGAACTGGAGCCTGAATCAGATTTTGTTCAAATTCATGTTCGCATCAGTCAAACTAAGGGCTTTTCAGAAAAAGTTAGGTTTGTTTGTAAAGATATAAATTGCATTATCTTGATCTATAAAAGTAGACAAAATTTGTGCTTAATACAGTGGTGTATTACTGAGTTTATTCTTAATTCAACTAGATTTTATGTAGTAATTGGAAACAATTACCTTCATACAAAGCCTCTTTATACGGATCCAGCCCTTGTTGAACGAAGTTTACAGCTTTATGCCACATCAGTCGTTGATAAAGGGCTAGAGTGTGGCATGTGAGTGCAGACTTTGGTATCATTGCCATATGATTCGGGGACAAGAGCAAATTTTCCTCCATATATTTTTGTAGTGTCTTGGTTCTGTCAACTTTTATCTTTAAAAGAAAATATTGATTCCTAAAAAATTGCTCTTTTAGTTTACAATGAGAAAGAACTTCCTACTAACCTTTGCTAGAAAACTGATAGCATGGGTCAAAGTTCTAACACCTTCACATACATCAGCAGGTGTGACATCTTGATTTGTGACCAAGTCATCGACTTCCTGAGATAACTTAGCCGACAATGGATCCTGTATACAAAAAATGAATAATGGAGGTAGAAAGGTATTTATACTTTAATTGTATAGCTGTTACGCGGGATTGATTTATGCAGCATGCCTGTATTTTACACATGACACTTTTTCACGTCTATCACCCCAATCACGGCCATATACAATCAGCCACTGATATTTAATGAGCGTCACTTTTTGGAAGAATTTAAATTAAATCTTTTCAATCCGACATTGCCCACCCAATTTATTAAACCGTCCGTGAAGAGTTGGGCATGGGATTTTCCCGAGGTGTGTAACCTGCAATGCAGTCACATTTAATTCCAACGCTTTAGCCACTGCGCACAATTTCATTAGTGAGGGTGTAAATATAATTTTTATATGTCAATCGTGGCTAAGAGATCGATTGGCAGCCTGGATTTCAAATAATTTTAAAAAGCCTGGTCAAGGCTATGTTTTATCAGTACTTGTTCTCTAGTAAATATCAAAAAACTGTCATGTTAAATTATAAAACTTTCGTTTCGAACGACGAGGCATGCTGATATACTGAGCCAAATATTTTAGATTGACTTGACTCATAAAGGTCAATACTTGTTATGCTTGAGTGGTCAAGAATTTGCCATGATGTCCTTTCTCAAACACATCAGTTTGTGTCTACCATAACTCTCCCACTATTTGGCATTTTATGCTTGTTCGAATGAGTGGATTGTGTTTAATTAGCTATCTAATGTATTAGTCATTAGGCCTCGTTAGTTATAATTGAATATAGTTGGCTATAGTTCTTATAATCAAAAAGACATCTTACTGTTTTAAAAAAATTCAGATGTCATCTCAGAAATAACGTTTTGGTTGCACTTTACTAATCAAGGTTTGACACCTCATGTAATACTCATTGTCAGATGCTAGATTGCTATATGTATATGAATCATGGGATTATTCTGAAATATCTTAGTCTAAGCTTACACAGATCATCAATTCTATGACCGAGTGTTAATTTATATGTAATAAGTTGAGATATCAGATAGAACCATGGCGCGAACTTTTTTGTACTACAAAAAATAGATACAATTATACCTGGGGAATATTTTCGAGAACGTTGTCCCAATCACTTCCGACACCAACATCTTGTGGGTATTTCATGCAAGGCAGTGACTGCAAAGAAAAATGTTTCGCATAATTCTTTTATGGATTTATTAATAATCAAGCTTTAACCTAATGCGCACTGGTTCTTACAAATACTGTAACAAAGGTTTTATTGTTAAAGTAATATTATACAACAAATTTATGAGAACTATCAGAAATGAAAATCGTTAAAGAAACCAAAAATTCCTCATAAAGTACCTTTTTGTTGATACGTGGCTGGTATGTGACATACTTCTCTCTGACCTGAAAAAGATTATGTAAACATGCAAATTGTTATGAGGTATGCCTAGTTTACTTAATATTAAACTACATATTCAGTACCTTCATTAATTACGGTAGATAGAATAATGAACTCATAACAGACATAATACCCAACAAGTTTGCATACTGAATATGTTTGAAACTAATTCAATTATCTACAATTTTTTCTGTGAAATCCACTTGCACAAAATTTATGAATGAATAAAAATAAATTGATCAGCAGTATTAGATTCACCCAGTGTTCTATACTTTTGCTCAGAGATGAGTGTCATATACTTTTGAGTGAGTGTGCATAACTTTGCTCAGAGATGAGCCTCCTTTATTTTTAAGTAAGTGCAAGTAACCCTGCGCAGAGATTAGTCCCCTTTACCTCTGTGTGAATTACTAAATAATAAGTTTTTGGACACAGAGTGGACATATGGATCGTTTTGTTTGTTATGTTGTTGTTCTTAGGAAGGCTATTACTTTTATTTATTTCAAAAATATTTGGTGAACTCCAAGTGATTTGTTTTTTGCGTGCGATGACATCATCAAAACTACAAATAGCGCTCCTTGTGGCGATTTCGCCTTCGCTTCAGCGAAATTGTGGCTAAGCGAAGTCATGAACATTGCGGGTATCGGTACGCTAATGTAAAATACTGTATATGCGTACTACTCCATGTCAATATATTTGAGTATCGTTTTTTCGTTTTCTTAAATTATTCTGTTGGATTGCACATACTAATAAGAATTACCCTGTTTGATCTTTATTGTTCTATTTGCTATTACATAGTTAGGCTCTTCATTCGAATTATCTTTTAATTAAATGCTTAAAACACCCATTGGTAATGTTTCAATGAGCTTGTATTACTGTTACAATAATGAAATACAAATGAGCATGGACAGTCTATCAATGTATCTGTGGATGGAGTCTTTACTCAATAATCGTTTAGTATTTTTCACTCCTATTTGAAGTACATTTTAATTAGCAGCATAACAAACTACAACTGATTATGTATCCTTATTTATGGCTTCTGCCTTTGAAGAAGCCAGAGACAGGGGCAACATAGACAATATAACTTAAATTGGCTAAATCTTTTTACAAAGCTTTTATACGAATATCCATAAGATTATATTACTAGATAGCAATCGGAGACCGCCGACTTATCGAACTGGCCTTCGTATCCTTCGCTCTGCATCAATAGCGACACCGCGTGTCCCATCACTAATTAATTAATAAATCGCTAATTATACGACACAATTTATCTGACATTTATAGGCTTTTGGACCGAGATATGATGAATGCACATGCAAAATGAAACAGATTAAACCTCGCTTTCGTGAGATTACGCGTAAAATACGAAAGTGTCTAACAGACAAACTGACAAAAACCTATCAACATACTTACCGATTGATATCGATAAATAATAATGATAGCCTTTGTGAATCATATAGACTTTAAGTGAGTTTCAATTTGAATGCGACGAAAGACCAATATGATCAATTTAGTGCCTTTCAATCTAGGCTTTCTGGTTGAATGTCTGGTATGACTAGTTAATCTTAGATTTGCTGTTATAAAAATCAAAAAAAGCATGTAGTAATACTAAAACCGATGAACCTCAAATGGTGTAAAGTTCACCTGCTTCTCAAGAGCATCAATGTTGTAGCTAATCTGGTGATGATTTCCCAGTTCATCTTCTGTGATAGTGTAGGAAGTATGCATGCGAATAAGTGGGAGAAGATCATTCTGTTTGTCAATGCGTATAAAGTTCGACCCAAGTCTCGCTACTTCCACAGTATGGCTTTAAGTAATATTGAAAATGTGAGTGAATTATATTCAAATAGTTGATAATTTGACTACGATCTCTACTACAATATTACATAACAGTATGTAGCTAATGTGTGTTAATCTTACTGGCCATAGCAAAAAGTCCGTTTATGAACTATTAGTTTAGAATGAATTCCAAAGATTTCCAGTATATAAAGATATTGCAACATACCCATTAGTGATCTTCAGAGCACTGCTACACTTCTCCAAGAAATTGTTGTGGATATCGATGAGATATTCTGCCAATAGTTTTGCACATTTTCCACGTCCACGAGAACTGGGTAAGGCCATTGAAATAGGACTAAATACATCTATGTCCTTCAAATATTCCTTTATTTGCTTGTCAGGATGTTGACGAAACATTCCGTATATCTGTTTATTGAATTAAAATAACTTTTGGGATAGTTTCGTAGCTGGCTTTGGAAATTCCAAATAGGTCTACAATAGGAATACAAACAAATTATGACTTTGACTCCATCCGTTAGCTTGCGATATTATTTCTAACAGTATGAAACAGATTGAGCATTTCACCCAGAGTGGCTTTGCAAATTTATCAAAACAAAAAATCTTACTGAATTCCAAAACTTAATATAATCTCCAATATCATTTTCAATCTGAACCCGTTGTCTGTAATCTGATTGTTCATCCATAAAATGAATTAAAGTTATTTCTTCAGCTTGCTTCATGTCTATTTGGTTTTGATACCTTAATAGAAAAATGTTAACTATTAACCTTACTTGTAATGAATTCACACAATACTTCATTCTTCACTTCAAAATATAAGACAATAACCACAAAAAGGTATATCATAAGTTAGAAAAATTACCTGTAGATGAACATTTTTTGAAGTGTCAAAACATTCTCCATGTGTTGTAATAAATGCAAGTCCGGAGACTCAAGTATTATCTTCAGAACACGACCTATGAGTGTTTTAATAAATTAAAAATACGTTTTTGATATGAACTATATCCTACTACATGTTTCATCCTATATTTCATTTAAAGTTCGATGTAGACATAATTATATGAAATATTTGTTGAATTTCACCGACCAAATGACAACTACTATCATTCCATTTTTATTAATGAACTTTTACTAATATTCGGAATATATAAATATTCACATACCAGTTGATGCAGAGTCTCTTACATATTGAAGTAAATGTGAAGCATTAGGATGCTTTATTGTTTTCCAAAATAATGGATGGTACCATACAAGCTGGTCTGGTTGTTCCTCGGTAGCTACTTCATTAACAATTCTGAAAAATAAAGTATATTCACATATAAAACGTCATGTCTTATTACTTTGAGAAAAAATAGCAGAAATGGGCGAAGTACGGCCCGCAGGCCAAATCCGCCCCATTGAGTAATTTAATCTGGACCGTCTGATGCTGACACAACCAAACCGAAATCGAATTTTAATATTTTAGTTAAAAATAGCTCAGGGAATTTGTTGACATTGCGATTAAATTTTGTTTGGGCCCGAAGCATACTGTTTCTCATCTTTACTTTGTAATACTGTAAATATTGGTCATAAAATGTTACTTTTTAAGTCACACTTACATGGCCCGCCAGTTTATGTGTCAAAATTGTTGACCCTGGTTCAAAAACTTTGCCCACCCCTGATATATAACTTATCAACCTGTATAGTAGCATGTTTTCAAGCTTTTCTACAGCATTGATGTTTTGTTGAGCTTCTGCTATCGCTGCATCAACGTTTTGAAAAACAGGAAGCAAATATTTTTCTCTAAATTGTGCTTCCCAATCACATCTGCTATTCATTGAATTCCAATCAGGCTCATTTTCGTCCTGAATATTCAAATAAAAAAGTGTTAGTATCGGTTCATTTACCTTATCTTTTAAAACTGGAATGCTGATTATGATGAACAAAAATACTCGTAATATTTTTTTTCACTTAAAACAGTTACATTCAAGACCACAACTCACTTCTAACTTCGTGTTTAAAATGCTTTTGAAGCAGCTGTGTATAATCATTATTGCATCATCCATGTTTCTGCCCATAGCATTAGCAAACGTTTCAATGTTCTCCTGTAGCTTAGTGTGCAGATATTTTCTTGATTCTTGGGGAGAATCTTTATTCAGCATTCTATAGATAGATTAAATTATTTACTGTCAATTCATCTATTTAAAAATAAAACATTAAAAAGATACAGCACCTGCTTATAATTTCCTCATCATGCTCTAATCCAACCAACATACAGCAATGAATGATGAAGTGAACCAATGCAACTCCTTGTTTTGACATTCGATCTGAAGGATCATCCTTCCCAGCTGTATCTGAGTTCAGTTGATATCCAGCTTGAGATTCCTCTGTTTGTTCAATTCTTTCATTCCCCTCTGCTGCAACATGTAATCGTCCACCAATGGTTTCTCCGCAAGCCGGACATTTAGATTCTATCCATGGTCTTGTGCATTCTCCGATAATGTATGGATGACCGTTGGGGCAGGCATAAACCGCAACTTGTGTCTCACTCTGGAGAGCATCACGAATAGAAAAATACATTGATACGGGCATCCCAGGCCAAAATAGCTTTTCCACATCTGCAGGATTAGTGCATAATATGCAGAAATTTTGCAGTAAACTTGGTTGGCAAATCACAACAGAGCCAGTTAATATTAAAAGTTGCTTCAGTATATTGCTTTGTTTTTTGGAAATTCCTGGTATATGTTTTCCAAGTGTTCGGATGACTGCAAACAAGAGTTCAGTGTTCTCCATCCACCTACTCATTTGTTCTTTGCTAGCTTCAATGTATTGGTTATTAGCAAAATTAATAACTGCCAAAATCTTAGGTAAAAGTTTTGTAATATCATTTCCATCTGAAAAGCAAGACCTGAGTTGCTCTGAGTAGATTTCATTTGACATACGGTGCAAAGTCGCTCTCATTGTTGCATATTCTTCCCCGAGAATCAGCCAATAATCTATCACTTTGTCATTCATAATCCTTTTCATTTTGTTTGGTACAAGATGTTTAAGTCTGTTGTGAATACAAATAAAATCAAACCATTCTGTCCCAAACATTTGGCAACCAGATTTGACAGCAAATGTGCTCAATGCATCAGTCTCATCACTTGCACAAATGTCAATTAGTGAATGCAAATTTGGTTTAATTATTTCTTTTCTTTTTCTTACATCGGACGTTCTCATATATTGGTGTATATAACTCCTTAGTGTTGCAAGCATTCGTAATATTTGTAGGCTAATATTTGTGCTCTTCCCAACACTTCCCCAAATCCTTTCAAAATTTTCCCAGTCTCCTACTTTTACTTCGGCTTCGTAAGCAGTCAAAACAACTGTGATAAGGTCTTTCAATTGCTTGCTTGTTAGATTACTATCGCCGGTGATATTCAAGAAAATGTTGTTGATCTCTTCTTCTAAAATATCAGAGTGATGTTGCATTAGAAGCTGAAAGATTTTACTTTTTGTTGCGATGTTAAGATCCAATGCCAGTGTTTCAAGCTCCAATCTCCCTTGATTTATTGATGTTTCCATAATGAGCTCATATAGAAAAAGTTTTGCGTGGTCCTTCATATCATGTTCTTTGCTTGAAAAGCAAAATTGTGATGAGTACTCAAGAAAAAAGCTTGTACAATTCGACCGAAACTTCTGTAATAGACTTTCTTGCTGCTGCGTTAGTTTTGCTTGATCAGTTCTGAAATCATCAGGCATTTTTTCAGAACATTGAGGACATTGTTTTCGCGTTTCGGTTGCTGCAAACATTTCATCAGTGCAGTCTTTGCACATAAAATGATTACAAGGAAGTACGACAGGCTCTTCAGCCAAAATTTTTCTACATCTCCTGCAGCTTAAATCTTGCCAAGAAACCAATAACTTCAGTTTAATGTCTTCATAGGACTTTCTCAAAACATTTAATAATATTTTTAAAAAATTTTTGTGACGAGAACCGTATCTTTGCAGTGGTTTCAACAATCTTTTTGCGTGGTTGACAATTACTTTTACGTAATTGGTAAATAACTCATCATCTGCATTTGGCAATAGCTGCAATAAAAGCAAATCGAGTAATGATATCGGTTCCCATTTCTCAGATATTTTCTCCTTGAGTTCCATATCAGGGATTAATTGCCTGTTACCATGATATATTCTTTTGCATCTGTTAGTTAGAGACATCCATCCTACGCAGGAGGCATCATCAGCTATATCGTATTCACTAAGCCATTCTAACAATTTTTTCAATGCTAGTGAATGTATGACAAAGTCGTCAATGTGCTCTTGTATTTCAATCCATTTAGTGGTATCATCAGCAGTACTCGGCAATATTTTGAATATTTCGCAGATCATACACAAGTGAGGAAGATATTCCTGTAGACAGTTGTAAACAAGGGTAACGACATTATGACTCTGGTATTCTCCCAGTTCATTTTTTGTCCTATGAAAAATATTGAGTAAAATGTCAACCAGTCTCTCTTTAACAGATTCTTCTATATTGCCAAAATTGAAATTACATGTCAATGCGTCCGTAGCATAAGCTCGAACAATCTCATCCTTATTATGTTCACATGCATCTGCGATGATTTTTGCTTCAGGCCTTTCACTGAACATGTTATCAAATATTTTAAGTCTTGTTGCCGAATCTTCATTTTGTAATGTAGACCAATTTTGACAAAATATACTGTTCAAAACAAAGCTGAATGGAAACTGGGGTGAGAATGATTTAGTAAGATGATTTTCAAAATCCACGTTAAATTCTTGACGTCCTTTCATTTTTTTCCACTCCAGCTTTAATGTCTTGAAAAATTCAAACCACAATTCTGTCTGCCACTGTTTATAATCATTTTTTAAAACAAAATCAAGATTGTTGTTCTCATCAATACAGCTGATAATGAAAGCCAATAGATCTGACAAGTGTCGCTTTAGACAAAGACAAAGAGTCTTGCCAAATGTTCCACCTTCTTGTAAACGGAATGGGGACAATGCTTCTTTTGTCATCCATGACTTAGAGGACATTGCTAATGAGCCATCACTATCTCGCTCTTTATAGATTTCTGTCATGCAATTTGCCATAATGCTGAGAAATTTGCCTCTGAGTGCAGGGTTTTGTGAACATAATGAGGTAATATATTCTATGCATTGTAGATTTCGTGCATCAGTTTCATTTTTTCGTCTTATTCTCGACATTGCCTGGCAAATGCTGTCCTTTAGCAATGCTATGAAATTGATTCCTTCTTGGTGCATCCTTGCTTGCTCATCTATTTCTTGCTGTCCCATTCGAAGTACATCTGTAAGCTTTTTTTCATAGAATCTACTAACAATGACATTGCCTGCTCCAGGAGGGCGTAAATCATCGACATAAACAATTTCTACACTTTTAGTATGTTGGAGCATGAGTTGAGATTGTTTTTCTGTGTGGGAAGAATGCTGTCGCTGAATTGAAAGTAAAAAAGCTACGATAATTTGACAGTCAGGCTCGTGTTTTGTAATATCTTTAATCATATTGGTCAAGCCATATTTTGCACATGCAATGAGTGATCCATGTCTTTGAGCTTGTGGGCATTGCACAAGAAGAATTTTCTTTTCTTGAGAAACTTCAGATTTGAAAAACTTTTCCAGATTTGATAAGTATTCCTGCTGTGTGTCAAAAAGAAGAAGGGAAAGCAGCATTATGCTATTTTGTTTCAAGGAAAGAGACGATTCAAGTTTTTGTCTGTCTTTTGTTGTCAGAATGTTGGAAAATGAAGTGATTTCCAGCACAGTTAAATTTTTTTTGCTGGTTCCAAAAGTGTGATTCAACAGATTAAGCAAGTTATCGTGAACTTGCTCTCTTGTATAAATATCCAACAGTCGCTCTTTTTCAGGTACTTTAGCTCTGAACATTGCATCTGTTGCCACACATTGAAGTAACACACCTTTATATAATTCTATATTCCTGGTTTTGTCCCTTGCCAATATAACAGAGCTTGAAGTATTATCATGATAACCGAGAAAAGCATCTTTTTCATTGAAATTGTCTACTTTTGCGAAGGTTTGGCACCATGTTTTCAGTTTTGCAGATACATGAAGTTGGGAATTATTCAGCAAATTGATTGATTCAAGATGATGTTTCTCCAATCTGTTAACTAGAGGAATGGGGTAATGCTGGTAAACAAAATCTTTTTTCTCCATAACCACTAACCGAAAATTGTTTGCTATTCTGCATTTTACTCTGTGACCTCCCAGGCCTATGTCAACATACCTCTGTCCACCATAGATAGTGTAATGTTGGTTTAGTGCGTCATAAAGAGATTCATGAACCTCTGTCATATCCAGCAAAACCACAGTGCGACCTGCTTCCATGCACACTTTAATGCGGTTTATGTTCTTGCATATTTCTGTATATGTGTGGTCTCCTGCAAAGCTTGAACCAAATATGATTTGAACATTTTTATGAAAATCTTCTATAAGATGTTCCAACATGGATACTGATGAGTGCTGATTGGTTAACAGCAGAAGGAACCTGCTGTCATTTTCTTTCAAGTTGTCTTTAATCATGTCTGTCACAGACTTTTCTGCTACTTCATCTTCAAAAACATACTGTTTTTTTACAGCCGTTGTTAGTGCTTTGAAATGAGATTCATGTCCCCCACTGAAATTCCTCTGAACAGCATACGCAATGTCTTTAAATTCACATTTATCTTTATCTTCGCTTGTGGCATTAATCATTTTGATCATACTGTAGTAATCTCGTAATCCAAAGTATTCTTTTGATACTTGCTTATATCTCTGATTATGGTATATATTCAGATATGCTTTGGTTAGTCCATCTAAAATCTCAATTTCTTCTGCCATGAAATGATTTTGTTTCTGCATTATGCTTTTAGCAGTCTCCAAAAGATCTTTTTCATTTGGTGTACTCCTAGTAACGAATATACCACGATTCATTTTGGCGGGATCCAAAGCCCAATTTGAAATTCCTACAAAGCCAACTTTGTCAGTTGGTTTTGTATCAGCAATTGTTCCGCTTTCTGTACTGCCACACTCCAATAAAGGATGAAGTACTTTTAATGGCATGTTCGGTGAGTCTTCTGCTAGGCCAATCTCATCCAACACCACCACGGCAGAATATGAATTCAAATCTTTGTCGCCTTTCTGTAAATCTGAACATTCTTTGAATTTCTGTTTTATCCCAGCTGCATCTGTTAGTGCACTACACTGATATGAAATCATCTTGATCTGAAAATATAAAGATTTTAGAAGACAGTGTTCATTCAATATATTAAACAATATGGAATTCATCCATTAATACCATATTTTGAGCTAATAGGATGATTTTCTCAACCCAAATATTTGACCTATTTTTTGAAGTTATAACCATTTGACTCCGACAAGGCTTATTTCTTTTTTTTTTATGGGGTTGGCTCGTTTTTCTGCAGAAGGATGCTCAAGCATAATTATCTATGGGTTAATATATTTCATAATGTAATTGACAACAAAATAGTTAATTTCGAGGGTATGCCTCTACAGAAATAATCATGATCGGATTCTGACAGACTTTGACTTATAAAATTGTGAAACGAAGTATCGCAATTTATTTGCTCTGGCCTATTGGTTGTCTACTTATTAGTCGAAAAATACGGTGACTATGCATTACCTTTTTCAGTCTTTTGAAAAGTGGGGATTTTGACTTTTTTCCTTCCATGTTGTTTGAAACAATGGTCTTTGCTAAAGACTTGGAGCTCCCAGGTTTTCCAACAAGAAAAAGGGGTATACGAAGCTCGCAGCATATTGTTATGAGATAGACATTTTCACATAAGGCCTCATTTGGTGCGATGTTTCTTTCTATTTTTAAATTGCCAAGAAATACATCCTGACATGCAACGAGCTCCTCGTTTATCTGTCGTTGATTAAGAGTAATTTGTTTTTTTTTGAGACATTTCGATATGTGTTCCCGAAATTTTTGTCTGTTATATAGTGAAACATGATAACAGACACCTATTGTTTGAATCAAGCAACGAAGTGTAGTTGAGATTGTTGGTTGGTCTTCACCCAGTTTGTGTTCAATTCTGGGAAAAAGAAACTCTTGTTGATCATGAAAAAAATGGAAAAATATTAGACATCGTTCCACATCTCTGAGACTGACATATCTGCATTCATCTTTCATCTCTATCTTCATGTAAGACTGTGCACTGCACAGGATGTAATCAATCAGGTTTTTGTCCTGATTATCCAGTTTTAGTTTTTCAGCTAAATGCTTCGTCATTTGGTGAATATACCTTTGTTCGGATTCTACACTGAGCTGGCCAAAATCCCACACAAATGGTTGCATGCTTGGTGGCAGCGGAACGACTTTGTAAACAAGTCTACGTATCGGTATTTTACCAAAGCAGTTAGTAGTTTCAGAAGCAGATACTCTGTAGCCAAGACCAGAATTTTCAAGTACTTGAATAGCCTTTTCCGACAAACTTTTATATGGATTGCAAGCTGCAACTATTTCAAGTTTACGGTCATAAAATGATTTTCCATTAATTGTGTTATCGCAAACAACCTCCTTGATGGCATGAATTGCAGTTGTTGTGTTAGCTTCATCATAAAACAGCACTGTGCTTATGTTTCTGGCAGCATTCTCTTTGGCAATTTTATTTGCCTTTGCAACACTTCTGTAAATGTCTTCTGCCATAACTCCGCCATGTACCTTCAAAGTAACCATGTTCCGCACATTTTCATTTCCAGCTGCTCGAAGTTTGCTCATAAACTCAACCATTCTGGTTTTGCCACAGCCTGTTTCACCCATCACAATGACTGGAATATTGCATTTAAGTCTCATGTATATTGCCAGTATTTTGAGAACGTTGTCTGTTGTCAGCTCATATGTTGGATCAGGGTCATCAGTACTGGGTGGAAGTCCCATTATGGTTCGTAGAGTGTTTAATTTTTCGATTCTTGATTTTTCTTGGAAATTGAATTCAAATTCAAGTCGCTGAGCATGTAACCCTTGCATGAGTTTCTTGCTAGCTATGTTCTTTTCTAATATATTTGCGTCCTCATCTAGTAGATCTCCACCTCTGTTTAATGCCACATTAATGAAAGTCATGGTTCGGTCTTCATTGAAAAACAAGTAGGGATGAGTTTTTCCTTCCCATTCTCGCCTAACTTGATGTCTTGCAAGACTGTCTGTGTTCTCATCCACATCCTTGCTACTTTGATCTGCTATCTGCATTGATGGCGTTGCAAAGTCTTGAGACATTCTTATCATGAACTTTACGGCGAAATCCTTTAGACCTCTAAGCTCTGTGTCCTGCCATATTTGTCCCCCTTCCATACTGACTTTTTGGCAAAATATGCATTCTTCACAATTTTTCAATTGAACATTCATGAAACTTGCAAAATGACGCAGTTGGGCCCATGTCGGATTGTCTGACACATAACTATTCAAAAATGTCTCAATGCAATCTTCTTGATTTCCTTCTGGTTCACGATATTGAAAGTCATCAAGATTTATATCTTTAACTGCTGCATGTTTCAAGTATTGATATGGTCGCTGAAATGTGCTTGAAATAAATTTTTTATATGCCATGAGCATGATGTTTTGCAGGCCCTCTTCATCATGAATACTTTTGAATTCCTCATATTTGTCTTCTGGTATCATTTTTATTATGAGTGGAATCACTGAATTGGGAAATCCACTGTAATTCAGTAAATCTGTCATGTAGTCCATGCCTATAACATTCTGCTCTTCATATTGATATTCACTTAGTAAATACTTCGCGTTGTGATTAACACATTCATGCACTTTTTTAATCTCTTCATAGCCATCAGTGTTGGGATTTGATACAGACAAATGCTGTTTTAAAACTTCAAATGTTTTTGATCGTACATTTCTAAGCTTTTCCAAAGATTCTAATGGCGAAAGGCATTTTACTCGTGGGAGCATGTTCAGTATACTGTTCTTTGAAATCTATTTAAGAAAATATGTAGAAAAAGTCTTGATCGAAAAGAGTTTGTCTTATTTTAGTATAGGTATGAGGTTTAAAGGCTCACCTGCTGTCTGTTTAATTCACTTCTGGTCATTTCAATGACGTAAAGATGTTGTTTTTGCCTATTCCACACTCTTCCTCGATTGTCTTGAATGCTTCCCAATACAAGAAGATTGAACATGAATCTTTCAATTCCATTCTCCACCTTCGTCCAGATTTAAATAAAATGAATTTCTGGTAAATCTATGCAAGACAATTTCAAATAAATTAATAACCGATGGTTTTCATTCTAATTAATAAACATTCTCTTCAAATAATAGATAATGCCGCATGCAAACCTTGTGATATTTAAATTTCAAATTGGCGCATACCAGGGGTCCACAACTGAAATGAGTATATTGGGATTTATTATAAATACAAGAAATACTTTTTACCAAACCGTTTATGCGCCACGTTCAGTTATACTCCCCTGGCATATGCCACTGTATTAAAATTAATTGATCAAGTTTATAAAAAATGTAAATTAATATTTTACCGCTGGTGTCAAGTCTAGATGAATAAAGTGGTTATCTTCATTATGAATATGAGCACTTTGATAAAGACGGTCTAGAATGGGGTCGGTATTGATGGTTTTCTCGAGCAAACGTATTGTTGTCTTATGCCAGATATCTGGTGCATCTCCAGTGGAATAAGTATCTGCAAGTCATAATATTTTGTTTGAAAAATACTTACTCAAAAATGGAAAATATTCCAAAACGACAATCAAATAGATGTTACAATATTACCCAAATCATTTATATTTTCAAATTTTATAAATTCAAAATTCTAGTTTTTTACGGGAAGAACATTTTTGCCCCAAACCAAAACTAGTCATCGGAGTAAAAGGTATATAAGAGACACCATAAGCATGATGTAACTTCAAATACATTGAATTATTGCATAATGCCATTACTAAATTATTAGCAAGGAATGAAATTTATTTCTGCATACCATTTCTATGCAGTTCCTCCACTTTTGTTGCAGGAGTGAGACGTATACTTTCATAGCTTCCAATGCTTTTATTATCCAGATAAAGAGATATTTTTTCTGAGTCACAGTGAGCTGAATCTTCGGCCACTTGAAACTGACATTGAGAAATATTAATTGAGTAACATGTGATATTTATGTCTACGCTAAACATAGCATGATACGATAAACAAGGCGCAATAGGGGAAGAATGTTAGCGTGTAAATAAAATCATATATACCAAAGAAGAATTTTCAAGGCAGAAATCTAATAAAATGTGATAGCAAGATAATAGATCTCAGTGATTTGGCAAAAGTTCAAACTAGATTACTCGGGAACTAGATCGTTTATTTATGATTCATCAGATTATTTTTCGTTGCTATAAATATATATGCTTATGTCTTTTCCAGGGGTCGGCAACCCCTGGCACGCGTGCCAATTATGGCGCGCGAGAGGATTTCTCATGGCACGCCAAGTGATTTGAGGCAGATTCAGATATTTATTTTAGTAGTTCGATAAACATTCTACATTTGAAAAAAAAGTAACAATTCGACAAATTCATTAAAAAACATGCAATATTTAACTGCAATCGACGAGAGGCCGAAATCTGTACGGGAAACCAGTGTAATTAGGTATGTGTGGTGCAATGTTGCCACATTTCGCTTCCTTCGGAAAAACTATGGATCAGAGGTCGAAATCTGTACGGGAAATCAGTGTAGATAAGCAAGTGCGGTGCAGCGGTGCCAGATTTGGATACTTTCGGAAACGCTTCGCTACTTAAAACTACTCGTTTAACTACTTGCGACTTCTCATACTACTGTTCGGTTACTTTTTGCCCTTTAAAAATCGTGAAATATTGAATATTATTTTATCAATTCATACTTTTTGTACAGCATTTTGCTAAAATCGCGATTGTTTTTGTCAGCGTGGCGTGTTAAGCTGTAAACACTTTTAAGTTTATTCTCCCTGATTCAAAAAAGGTATTTAACGACAACGATAATAATTAATCTCTTTTTTACTCGTCCAGAATTGTGAATTTGTTAGAGTTATTAAACAATAATCGGCGGCGAGTTGCTTAAGTCAAATAAAGAAGTGAAACAGCGACGCAAATTTATTAATCGAACAGCGGCAATATAAAATATTAAAAATTAAACCCTAAACAATTTGTTGTAGTTGGCCCGCAACATATCAAAAACGCTTCTTTAGGCATTGTAAATTGCAAAATTTCTTATGCCTATGGCACACATACGGTTAGTTTGATCGGCATTGAGAATCATAACGTCACTAAAATCGAAACACAGTTAATTGTGCGCGGATTTTTTATTTTACTTGCCGTCGGAAATTTTCGTGTTAAAATATCATACGATTCATATTATAAGGTTAGAAACGCTACTTTCATATTAAAAAGGTTAGAAACGCTACTTCTTACTTACTTAAATAAATTTTATTTTATTGCAGACTAGGAATTTTTCTTAAAAAACGGTTTCATTTTAAAAATAATCTGAGTGGCAGCATTGCGATAGAGCGGAGTCATTGTTGCAAGTACATCTCAGATTTGTCGAATTCGCAAAATGGCAAAAATACGGATCTATATTGTTGACGCAAACGCGGGTTAAATTGAAGACAATTAAGTTATAATAAAGCAAGACATCCACGCTAAATACAATCACGCGTGTCTGTCTATCTCATATTTTTATACGCCAACAGATTGAGCGGTAATTTGGACAAGTAATGTTTATATTTTGACACAAGAAGACGGAACCGCGAGTTACGTTGAACACAATTGTATCCATATAGAAGAAAATTTTATAGATTCTCGTAGCTGTCATGAATTGAATATTTTACGGTATACCCTAAAAAAGCGATACCCTGAAAAAGTCGGCTATTTTTATGAGCGCGTGATCGCGGCGACTGTTTCAGAATGAAATGGAAATTTTCGATTTTGAACGCCCCTTTGAAAATCCTGGCTGCGCGCTTGGCTGGCTGGGAACCTCACGGAAGCCAAAATTTTCATCATTTCAGCGTGAGCTACAAGTAGCCCTAACAAAAATGATGGAATAAATTTTATCTTATTTAGTATTGTCGCGTTCACATTGTTTCTGGCTACAAAACTAATCGTGAGTGACTTTCATACCTATGTCTTAAGTAGCGCAAAGACAGGTCGAAGGGAGAGATAGTAGCAAGCTAATTTCCATGCACGTTATCTTATAAAATAAATTTGTTTTTTATCCGTTTACTATTCAAATCAGGTAGTTGACTATGCAAACCAAAACATAAAAATGTTTGGCACGCGACGGTGCTCATTATTCATAAAATGGCACGCTGGGTTCAAAAGGTTGCCGACCCCTGGCCTATTCCATATCATTCCCCGATGAAGTTTTTCTATATAGAAATTCAAAACATTGTTTTGATCACACCTGTTGTGCTTTATTCATACTCGACATGAATATACCTGGTGGTAATCGTGCGCTATGTGATATTTATACAGCATACTTTTGCAAACTTAATCTTTCAGTATTAGACACTTACCACTCGGTGATGTCTGCACCATTCAAAAGACGTCATGTCACTAGTTAGAATTGCCAGTTGATATTCTTCATTTGCATGCATATTGGTTGACAATGATTCTGATAATTTTTCTATTCTTTTCACAACTTCAGGTCGAATTCTCTCCCCATAAGCAATCGTGAAAAGACGTTTGTCTGTGTAAATGTATGTAACCCAGTTTTGTATCAACTAAATTGTAATTACAATATGCATATTGATACAATATGACTTAGACTCTGCTAATGGCTATGTTGATTTTTAAGTTTGTGATACTGACCTTGCTTTGAAGTTTTGCACATTGCTCTCCTCAAGAACCTTTCGACTTCTTCTTCACTGGTTTGCTGACAACAGAGTAAAACTTCTGATGCAATTGGCAGTGGTTGTCCTTGGTCGGCCATATATAACGATAAAAGAGCGGGGAGGATGTCTGCCTCAGGTGTGAATATAATGTTGAATTTTCCTTTTTCCATTGGTACTGGAAGACTTCTCTTTGGTACGACATTGTTTGCATCACGCTTTAAAACATTCAGGAATGCATGCATATGTTCGATTTGACTGCATTTTTCAAACCATCGTTTGTCCAGCTGTTTGCTCAAGTCTTTGACATAAAGTGATTTTCCTGTCAAAAAAAAACATTTAAATTGTGAAACGCAGAAATTCCCCTCGCAACAATTTAAAAAATTTATCCGTGATAATTTCCACACATATCTATGTACACCAGTAAATGTACCCACCAATTCCGGATCTGTCAGCTTCCACTATTTTAACAATAAATGGTCCCACTTCATTATCTGTTGTGCTCAAATGCATCTTCAAATAATTCGAAATATCTTTCTCAAATGATTCTTTCTTTACCAATTGTATTTGATGCTAAAAAACAATCAGTTTGTTGTTAATTGAAAAAAAAAATCAAATAGGCTGTTTCAATTTCCAGCTCCGTTAAATGTTCACCAACTTTTAAAACTTTTCTGGGGGTGCTTTTTCCAACTCGCAATTTAATGTTCGCCATTTATCCAAAGCTTAAAATACCTGGAGCAAAGGAGGCTTGAAATGCTGCCAAAACTTGAGAAAATCAGCATTGTTATGGCTAACTTAACTATGTTTAGGTTGACACTAGCTGTCAATAAATACAAACACAAACCTTATCAAAGCATTCACTAATGTAATGCTGCTGACTGCCGGATAAAACCACAAGTTGATAATCTGTATTTAAATGTCTTTGTTGCTGCAATAATTCTTCAAATATGTCTTCGACTGAATTTGATACCTTCGGTTTCAACTTTTCCGTGAAAGCCATGCAAAACAGTGGTTGACCTTGAAAATAAAATTGCAAAATTTTGGAAACACGGAACGAATAGTAAAATAATTGTAACAATGCGTCTGTAAGAATTTATATGCTGAAGAAAAATAATGAATATTACTTATTCTTTTTTATTTAATGACAAATAAGTTATTTCAATGATTGAATTATAATTTACAATCATACCATTACTTTTACACTTGCAAAGTGCTCTTCTCATAAATCTCTCAACCTCATCAGATGTTGTTTGTTTACTGCAAAGTAACACTTCAGACGCTGTTGGTAGTGGTTGATCACGATTTTTCATGTACAGAGATAACAGAGTTGGTATTATCTCAGCTTCCTGGCATACAATCAGGTTTGGTCTACCTTTTTCAAGTGGTGGCTCAAGGTCCTTCACAACTTTGTGCTTGATGTCATGATTTTCGTGAAGATGAGTCAAAAACTTGCCCAAGTGTTCTACACTGAGATAATCTTGCATGGTGAGAACCTTTTGAATTTATGATTGTTTTAATTGGATTCCAATGTATTGACATTAAAATTTGGAAATATGTAATAGCCTAACCTTAGTTTTCTCAAAGTATCTTTTGCATATTGTTTTGACTGCTCCAACAATTTTTGGTTCTGATTCATCAACATTTAATGTGTTTATGATCTGGTCAATCATCTCAGTCAAAGAATGCATAGATTTATTGTCAAGAATAGATGTAAGTTCTTCCTCTTCATTAGACTGATGAGCAAATGCTAGAATTTGGAATAGTGTGAATAGCTATGTTACTTACGGTAACCTATTTGAAGAGAATTTATTTAGTCTTAGTGCTTATGTGGCTGCTTATACAAGCCACTAGTCAAACATTACGATAGGATTTATATATTTATCCCGGGGAAGAGGAAATCCAATAAAAAGGCATAACCACATGACGAACCACGGCCTCCTGTGGTACCATTCCATGTCGGGTATGGGATTAGTTAGGTATTTAATTTTAGAAGCATGGACTTGATGGTGGAGCAAGTTACGTCCAGCGGTTACGTGAACCACCCTTCAGCGGCGAAAAATGCAGCAAACCTCTTGCACATAACTATCCCACATGGTATTCAAACCTGTGAACCCATGCAGAGTAATCAGATATGTGGTGGCGAGCGTATTCCTAACGCCTAGCACAATGTGCCACACCGCCTCGCCATGAGAAAATCTTGGAGGAATCTACGAGGAAATTTTCTAATAACATCATTTTTTATTCATAATTGTATTGTACCTCTTTCTGCATTGAATTTTTTTAGATTACTCTGTACTTCATTTTCGTCATATTGATATAATAAAACCCAGTTGTTGCATTCATCAATGTTATCGTAACCTACAGCCTGAATAGCTGCTTTTGCAAGGTGTTCGGGCAATCGTTCTCTATTAACAAGAATGCGAAGTGTTCTTTTCTTCTTTTCCATTTCACTCATAGAATCTGAAAACAAAATAATAGTATATTTTTTTAGAAAAAAAGATAGAACGTACCTCTGATGAATTTAATTTTGTAACATATTTCCTGACCAAATTTGTAGCTAAGAATCTTAGGCATGACAATGCTCTCTGACTTCTTTGTGAACAAGTGAATAAAAAATACCTCAAAGTAATGTCTGGTTAAGTTATGTTTTGTTTTGTCGGAGGGAGTTTGACCAGGATGGTCCAAGATTGCGAGGTTGTAGGGCCGCAAAAACGTTCAATGAGGTCATCGCGAGATCACTCACCTTAAATATATATTCGAGGATGAGAGTTTATCGTTCTAATCAGTTTTTCAAGGAAATGAAACTAAATAAAACCTTATTTATATTAAAATTGCTTCCCAAGAAGTATTGTGGTATTTTCGTATCTTTTCGGCGCTCCAGAAGTATGTGTACCAACCAATACGGAGGTTTAATTTTGTTCGCTCACTTTACATCAAGTTGTGTACAGGGACTGATGACTATTTGCAGGGGATGTATTACCTTTACTAACACACTAACAGTCCCCGAACACGTGATAGAATTAAAATAAGAAAAATCATAATAAAATTATGGCCTAACCCTAACCTGGTAAACATACTATGGAAGTACCATCTTTTCTCGTGTGTAGATTTGTAATGTTGCTTAAAATTATATTCTTTCGTGATAGATATTACTCAAAAACACACCAGATATGGGGGTTTAACGTTGTTGAAGGTAAGGAAATGCGTTTTCTCTCAGTTTACCTTGGTCGCTACCGTCGAAAAACAGCCAAGTCCGTATAAGTTGAAACCTCAGATCCAGATAAAAAAAATGGATCGCGCGGCGATAAGTCAGCTCTGCGGTTCGTCACTGTTGTCACATGGCCAACGCTTAGAAATAGAGGAGTGTTTTGACTAAAAGAAAGGCACAAAACGTCTCTTCAAATGAGGAGTTACTTGACGCGAGCTGATCTAATCGGCTTGGTCCTGTCTGCACAAGACAATTCATTCTCTTTTTATCGATCACAGGACGTTATTACCATATAGGCACAGTCTTGAAGTTTATAGAGACAACAATGAAATTTCGTGATTTTAACAAACGTCAATTTTAACATCGGGATTAGGAAAAAGACTATTCCCAGTTGAAATAGTTTTAAACTAAATCGAAATTGTTCTGCTATGAAATACGAATATCTGCCAATGGTTGAGTAGCGTATGCTGAAAATGTTCTGCTGGCTGCACGATATGTGTCGGCGGGCTGCATGAGGCCCCCTGTCCACGGTTTGGACCACCCTGAATTAGACTATGATTTAATGAAAGCTTAGAAATGTACTTGCTATTTCGTAGGAATATATTATGCTAAACTTTTTTATCTTAATAATAGTATCTGATTTTGGGGGCAATGGATGCATACGGATCTGAAGTTAAAAGTATACAAGGAGAGGAGACTTGCAGTTCAGTACACAATACCCTTGTATCCTTTGTATAGCAGGAATGGTTACAATTTCTCTTGCAATACTACAATTGATTACGTAGCTATCTGTTTCATAAATGGTAGGCTATTCCATATACCACAAAGTTCATATCCAAAGTATTAAAAATTAAACCGGGCATTCAAAATATAATTTGGCAAATAATATGATGACACATGAAACACATGCAAAGTCATACCTTCACCATCGATGTTTCTTTCAGTCTCACCCATTTCTTCTTCATCAGGTTCTTCATCATTTATTTTGATTGCTTGGTCACGAGCTTCTTGTATTATACCCGATGCAAGGCTTTTAGAGTCATTCGAAAGCAGAGATAAAACCTGTCAGATGTTCATACATAAAATTAAACTAAAATATCATCTATTAAGATAAGACAATACATAAAATTGGTTTATTGATTGTTATAATACATTTTAGACACAATAAAATAGTGATAGAGTAGTAGAAAATATGGATATATTGAGCGCATCCAGTACATAAAAATTGGTTTAGTCACTACCATCATGAATTCAGTGATAATGAGCTTGTTCTAGAATGTTTTCTGTGCTTACTTGATCTGGAAGTAAAGCAGTATTTTCCACAGTTGCCAGTTGATGACACAAATATGTTATTTGCTGAATATTGTATTCGTTCAGATGGTAGTGCTTTAGTCGTTTAGAGTTGATATAGTCAGTCCATCTGCAACACAAGATATTTGGGACTCAAATCTAGCGATGAGACTGTTGACTAAATTAAGATTTTTGTCTGGTTGCTTGAAAATAAAGCACTCATATTGATATCTTATCAGGGGTATCAATAAACAGGGTATCAATAGTAAATGATTAAAAATCTAAGTATTATTAATGACTCGTCAAAGTTATGACAAAAAGAGTTCATTGTAAGAAAGAAAAGCTAATCTAAAACTAACATAAGCGAGCATTGCTTCTGCCCTAATTCGACATTAACTAATTGTACAAATATTGAAATTGTAGGTCGATATTTTTCAATAACTACTTTTAGAGTTATCATCAATTTATACCTATTTTTAAATTTTACTCACCAGTTCAGCCATATTTTATGTTTATCTTAAGTATATTATTTTATTAGTAGTATTTACTATTATTACTATTATTATTCTTTATTATTTTTATTATACTTCTTTATTCTTTTTCGTCAAACTAAACCTTTTTATCATTTATAATTGATTTGCATTTATAGTCGTTTATCATCGATATCTGCCACTTCAAAATTATAATAAAATGATAAGTTTAAAATTTATGCTTGTAGTGTATTAAGTAATAAAAACTTACTGGTAATATGATAGACGTAACGTTTTTGACAATTCTTGTAGAACATATAAACTTGTTGTGCCGCTAAGAGGTGCACTTTGCTCCATAAAATGAATTGTAATTTTCAAGTTATGTTCATTTTGTCTGTCATTTATGTCCTTACACAGAGAGGATCTGAAGAAAGATTGTAAGAGCAATACTTCAAATAATTATATTGTTATCTATAAGTAATGTCTCTGCTATCTTCCATACAAAACTTTAAGCAGAACTTCAGAGTTCATACACGAAATATTACATTTGTGTTTCAATGGCACATCTTTCGAAAAAAAAAAACTTTGAAAAGCTTATGAAGCTTTTGAAAAGCTTAAACAATAATAATATTCCAATTCTTAGAGAGAGAGCCTGAAGAAAGATTGAAAGATGAATACTTCAAGTAATCATATTGTTATCTATCAGAACTGTTTGTGCTATCTTCAATTCAAAACTTTGAGCTAATTTTCAGAGAGTTTATAAACGAAATATTAAATTTATGTTATTATTATATTAAATTTATGCTTTGGAAACAAGTTCTTACGATATCATAGCTGTGAAGTCATTAAATAGCATGCATCCTGCATTGGTTAGGTTAACAAATGCTTCTGCTAGAGTTTTCACCACAGTGAAAAGTTCAACAAATTGAGCTATATCTTGCTGCCCTTGATCTTCTTCACCAGCTATAAGGGCCAACCTGGATTGCAAGTCTTGTAAAGCAGGTAGGTCATACTTTCCAGAATTTTTGCCTGACAAGATATAAAATGATTATTCTGTCGTGGGTTCTATGTTGTTATCGACTTTTATGTCATTGCAGCATTTATAGCTATGTAGAAAATAACTGACTAGCATACCCAATACCTCTTACATGAATAAAAACCAAGCATTTTGAAAAGTTTTAAAAAAATGAAAGTTCACATCAGGAAAAGCTACCTAATCTATTTCAGTTCTCTACAACATTTTTTTCTGTATTTTCCGAAACCTACAGAGAGAATTACTAAGATTTGTTGACTGCTATGGCACGCAAAATCTCTAATAATTCACAACACAAACATTTGACAGGGCCCAGAGGATTTTCGATTTGTTTCACAAAATTTTAAGACAGGCTTTAGAATGTAACTTCATTTTAAAAATGATAAACACATTTTACCTTTCTTGGGAGTTGAATCTGTATCTTGAATAGTCAGTGAAACACAATTTTCTAGTGTTGGCCGTATAATTTTTGTTATACCAACAGTGTAAAGACCTCTTTCATTAATGCTCTGCGCCAGTGCAAGAGATTGCTTCTGATCAGATCCAACGAGACTTTCTCTGTCTTTAAGCCACTCAAGGTTATCACCACTGCTTTTCTGAAGAGATATGATAAAAAAATGGGACCTACTGAAGTAGGCGCACCAAGATGGCGCACAACCTGAACTCAGGTTGTGTACCATGTTAGGGTTAAGGTTATGCGACATCTTGGTGCGCATACTTCAGGAGTACCAAAAATGAGTATACCGACAAAACGGAATTTAAAAAAACGATAAATTTTGGTTTATCAAATGGATTTCAGGCCAAGATATGTCGACTCCATGGAAATACATTTAGGATAATTAATCTAAACAAGTAGGCCTAATCAAGACAAAATCCATGAATAATCACTGTTTTGAGATTTGCCTTGTGGTGTTGACTAATCTGACTGAATTGTATGTTATTACTTTCAAATATTAGGAAAACGTTTTCTTTGAGTAAAATTTTCATTTTTGTTACTCTAATCAATGTTCATTGAAACAAAAAAGCCCTAGCTCCCATCTTGTTTTTTGTGAATTTGAATATCAAATCAATATTATTTTCCAAAGAGTATGGTATGTTATTATTTCCACGATCATCAATATCTGATTTGCATACCCATTTTTCCAAAATCCTATTATCCTGGTCAACATTTTCCCATACTTCTGCACATTTTTCAAGAAGCTCATCTAGACAGTTAACATCCTCCAAATGAAAAAGTAATGGGGCAAAACATTGTGTTGCATCAAGTAGATGCAGAATTTTATCAGTCTCAACAGGCGTTTCACCAGTAGATGACAGAGCCAAATCGCACATCACTTTCACTTCAGATACATCTGTAAAAATAAAAGACTTTATCTGTCTTGTATCACACATATTGCATTCTAGAAATGTAAAAATCACCCTATTTCTATTTCGTGTGCTAGATATGACAAGACTGAATTTGCAAAAAATACCATTAAATGTCATCCTCACATATGCTATTTATTGATCAAAAAGATTGGCAGATATAATGCGGGATGACATCAATTTGTATAACTAAGCCATGTCTCTCATGTCAAAGTAAGAGTTGTTATGAAAAAAATCAACCTGTCATTTTTGTATTTTGAAGCCACTCAATCAGTTCCCTTTGCTCTATAAAATCCTTCAAAACAGCAAGCTTTGATGGCTCCATATCACGCAGTTGCTTGGGAAACTTTTCTAACGTAGTTTCATCAATATCCTTCAAGGTCAAATCAATATTTTCTTCTGTATTCTAAATTATATTTCTATAATAAGCTCTTTTGGAAACTCATGCACTCAATTCCTGTTTTGGTAAACTCACTAATATTTGATTCAAATCTTCAAAATCTCCCTTCAGTTGCTGTATCTTCACGAAGTCAAGTACCCATTTTAAGCTCTTGCTATTCTTCTTAATTTCACATACGTTGGAAATGGAGAACACAGCAGAATCCAAATTGTAAACTATGATAAATAATTCATATTATTAAAGCTATTAAAATTGAAACAGAAACTTTTTTCTTTATAACGACCAATTAGAAAATGAAAACTTTCATCGTTTAGAAATCATTTAGAAAAACGATTTCTTGAATAAAAAATAACTGCGATATTCAGTCAGTGGTTTGCACCTTAAAAAGAAGTGAGACAGATAGGAATTCTTTAATATCTCATTTAGGTGAATTTTTAAGTTATTACTTTTGTTCTTTGAATCAACAAAAACGTGGTTTGGATCATTAGCTTTAAGTTAGTCAGTATCATCATCAATAAGAAAGAGAAACTTCATCGGAAAATGTTGTAAAATTCCACAGTTCAAACCAAAATTTTAGGTTTGTCTCATCTAATAAACATAGAATAGCTGAAAAGCAGCAGCAATGAGATTTGTTGCTAAGTACTGATTTAAGATGAGTGCTATTTCATACCTCGGCGCATCGGTGTGGCTCATTGGCTAAGCGTTAGAAATACGCTCGCCACCGCACCTCTGCTGCGTGGGTTCGCAGTTTCGAATCCCATGTGGGGATTGTCATGTGCGAGAGGATTGCTAGACTCCTCGCTGCTGTAGGGTGGTTCACGTAACCGCTGCTTCCAAACACAAGTAACGAACTAATCCCATACCCGACATGCAATGGTAACCGGACGAGAGGCCATGGTTCGCATATATTTAAGCCGTCTTATCAACTTTTCTCTCCCCGGGATAAATATGTAAATCCTAAAAAATCCTAACCTGCATTTTCTGAATCATCAAGTTTTTTTTTAAAGTTGTACAATATTTGGAGCTCGTCATATATTTTCTTTCGTTTTCCATTAGACCAAATAAAATGTTTAAAAGCCACATCCAGTTTGAGTGATTCTAAGAAAAGGTTAATTTTGTTTTAGAGTTCAAATTATTGCAAAATGTTTGTGATTATGTGAAAAATTATACCCAATTTACCTTTCTGAATTAAATCCACCAATGAACATATTTCATGTTTCACTGATGTCCACACGGAAGATAGAACTTCTTTCCAATCCATCTCATCTACATGATCTTGTGTTTCTTTGAGGTTTTGGGAAACCTCTACCCACAAGTTGAGAAATATTTGACTTTTCTGTATATATATAAAAATTTAATATACATTTCAAGTGCATATACCTTAGTTGATTTGGACGTGGCATTGTGTTGGCACAATGAAAGTGTTCGTTTTGTATTGTGCTGTTACCTATTCTTGGCACTATTGTGGCCCGTGAACAACACAAAGGTAATTTTGTGGCCCCCGAAGCCAACAATCTTGGACCATTCTGATGTAGTAGAATTTTTAAGTAAACTCTCTCTCGCCTAATCTTCAAAAATTGAGAAACATGAAAATAAAAGTGCCGGTACCTAATAAAGAAAATCGTCTCATGTTTTCAAACGGATATATTAATCTGAGTTGCTAAAATGCCATCAAGTCAATTTTATCGGAATTTTTAACACTTACGCAGTAATTAATTTTATAAGTTTTACTTCATGCAAATAGAATATAGACACGATAGAAAAATTCAAACAGGAACAAGACAACGAATCTTGGAGCCAGTAGCAAAGATATTGTTTAATTTTTATTTTACAGTGGCGATAACGACAATCAAAAATGAAACGTAAGCTAATAATCAGAATGAAATTAATTCATTCCTGTCATTTTCTATGGCCAATGATTTCACAATGGCGCCCGAGTTTGTCGTGCAGAAGGCGCAGTTCTGCGATAAATGCAAAAACCTTTTTGTTTCAAACTGCCTACTATACAGTAAAAAGAATCTCCAGCAATAACGCAAGCAAAGAGATTAAAATACTTTCGATAGATACCTAGTTGGCATTTCTCGCGCGTTCAAACGACGAGGAATAATTTTTATTAGAGGTATCAAGAGTGGCTCAGTCTTGAGGGATCGGGTTAAGTTTAGTACCGGTATATTTCATTAGAAAATTCGAAAATTCGTGCGGGCAACTCAGAACCCTTCTGCGGGCCATGGGTTGGACAACCCTGTTTTATACAATGCAATGAGTAGGTTTTATGGAGAACTTAAACTATTTAACTTCAAATTAATACAGTTTATGATACCTTAAGCATTTGAATCATTTCGAATTGCTTCATTTCTGCTCTGTGAGCCCAGAGTAACTACCAGGGTTTGTTTTTACATCTTCTATTGTGAACAAACCATCTAGACGTTTAGATTGTACACTTCTCTCATAGACTTCTTTCAATTTACTATAGTTGACATGTCTTTCTGTGCCAGAAAATTAATTGGATGAGTAAAAAGCATCAGTAATTTATTTTTATTCCTCATACACTACCTCATTTGGTCTCCCTTTTAGAGATGATTTATTTTTAAATTAAAAATATGATCAAAACCGATTTTTTTTGCTACTGTTTGAACAACAATAAAATATTTGTTTTTTAGTAATTCATATATATATGATATCTCGTTGAAGCTAAGGAAACCTCCGAACCTTTTATTAGTGAACACATCTTGCAAAATGTTTTGTAGTTGTTAAGCTCCTTTATAAATTGTTCCAATTTTGCTTGCATTTTCCCAATGTTTATTTCTAAAGTTTTGGTCCCAGTGCCTACAATTTTCTAGGATAAAAGAGATAATTTAAATAAGTTTTATGGAGAAGGTAATAAACAAATAGGCTGATTAAATAAAACACAAAAAAAGAAAATGCTGATTCATTAGTTTTCGTTAACACAGGCAACAATAACAGATTGCTACTGTGTTAATTGAGACTTTGGTTAATCATATATACCATGAGTAATAGAGAATTTAATGGAATCTGTAGGACTAGGGCAAATACTAACTAATAACGTGGCATCTCAAGTAATTTTCCATGATTTGAACTTCTTTGTAGTTTCAGGAGAAATACTTCAAATTCGCTGAGATAGAATGAGCTCGAGTGAATAAAAATCACATAATGCAAGTAGCATTTTGTATTTTGTTAACCATTTTATTAATTAGTTTCAAAAATTCAATTGAAATCAACACTAATAGTATTAATTGTGTAAATAATAAAAGCTTATTATTGATGCACGCTGATGTGAAATGCCATTTGCAGGAAGGCCCTCTTTAGATTTTCATCTTGCATTGGTGATGAGTCTACTGTATGTCTATTGCAAATGGCAAATAAGTTCAGGTAACACTTACCGGAAACATAGTTTGAAGAAATTGACATAATTTTGAATGGTATTCTCGCACAACATTCAGATCATCTCTCAGCACATTTCCTTTTTGCAGAGTGTCCAAGAATTCTTTACACCTTCGTTTTATCATATTTATGGTATGTTTTGCACTTGGTGAAATTTCAAGGGCATTATTGCTGTCTGTAACATTAGTAAAGAAGTTAGTATTGGTTGGCTATTTCCTCTTTCAGGATTGTTATAGCTGCTTTACACATATTTTCCGATTTTGATGTGGCTTCTAATAAATAGGCAACATATGGTGCAACCAACACTCACAATATATATGAATTTTATACTTCATTTCAAAATTTAGAATCAATTTGAATTACCGGTATGTTATTATGTGATTAAATGGTGTAATTATGTTATTAAATGATTACCGTTCTGTTATTTTTTTTATGATAACTCATACTTACAGATAAATTTGAAAATGCTCAAAGATATTGGCCATTCACAAATAAATTTTAATATGTTCTTTGTTGATGTTTTCTCATCTATGCCGCGAGTCTTGATTTCTTTGTTGAACAATTTTTCAATAAATTTTGTTACCGAAGTGTTCTTCTGTGAACTGAATATTGCAGAAAGTCCACAAAAGTATGGTTCATAATCCTATTAGAAAAACAAATACGAGCTTAGCATTGAATACATAAGTATACATCAAAATAAACAATTGGAGAATATTTCCAATAAGCTATTTTAATTTATTTTACCTGATCTTCATTCAAAACCCCAGCTGCAATGTCCAGAGCTTTTTCAGAAAAACAATGTTCAAGTTCATCACAAAAGTTACCTTCCAAAATTGTTTGTGTAAAAAACTTGAAATATTTTTCATCAGCATTTTCCCATTTCTGTGTTAAAAATTTGTTTGTTTATTTTTCGTGTTACTTTACTTGAGAAAAAATAATGTTCTATTCTATACCAAATCTTTGGGAAAAATAAAACATTTGTTAAGATGATAAATCAGTAGTCTATCCATAGTTTCCAAATTTATTTAAGCATACATGCACATTATTCAAACAACAATGAAGAATATTATATTTATTTCATGTGTTGATCGACTGAAAAAAAGTTCATTTGCTTTCTTTATAAAAAAATATTATTTCAAGCCCCAAATAGAGAATTCTCTATCGATACTTGTAACACTAAGCATTCACTCTTCACAAATACTGCTGGTAATTTTATCATGAATGAAAAGGATAAATATTTTATAGTTTGCTTTACAAATTTTTTTTTTCTGTTCAAATAATAGCCAATTGTTTTTTGTTGTGATTTGATTACATGGTGTAAGAGTTGAAAATTTATTCATAGGTGAGATAAGCCAACAACAATCTTATTAGTAAACAGGATTTGTCATGTTCATTTTTGATTGAATGCCAGTTGCGTGGCTGGCAAATTCATGTAGAACCAACCGCGGAATGAAACAAAAATCAAAAACATGAAAAACAATCATTTGGCTTTACACAATGCGAAATATATATATATATATATATATATATATATATATATTCGAGGAACTTAATAACTGAGTGTTGTAGAGACCAAACGATATTTATTAGTACGTTTGTAATCAGTATGATTTCTTGAGGTCTTTTTATTATTGATATCAGGTTCACTGTGAGGCATTATGTCCCTGCTCCTTTTTAAATTATGTATACGACTATTTATTGAAAATCATATTCAGTTAAATTAGAAAACATCATTCGCCTCGTACCTCATCAATTTTAGTGTTGATTTCGACTTGAATGAGTTCCACCCACTGTGTTCTATATTTTTCAGGCCATTCTATTCTCAACAAATTGTCAAAGAACTTGAAGTGCACATAAAAAATAAATTTTTACAATATAGCAACAAAAGTTTTATTATAATTCGATGCGCACATAGCAACAATCTGGTGCTCCCGTTGTATTCGCACCAGGGCATTTTTCTCTGAAACACTTTGCCTCACTATTCCCCACATTGGTACGAATACTTCTTGAGTGTCAACAATTTTGTGCTATTCCTGTATTATCATGGAGAGTTTCTACGTATCAGATCTCTCACATTCCTCAAGGAACAAACCAGATTTCTAGGAGGTTCTACTCATAACAGAAAGAAGGTTATTGTATTGGAATTGAATGTGCTATCACAAAAACCCTCATTGATCAAATATGACCAAACATCATATAACACAATGTCCTGATTTTGATTCTCATGTAGCGCAACAAATTACAGTGTGTGGATAAGTTCAACATGGTTACTACAGGAAAGCCTATGTATTATTTTTCTCATATTTAGTTCTCATTCTGTGGCTTAGGCTAGTCGAAATTATTGACCTGAAGTCATATAGGTCACATATATAATTGCGAATCATTCATGTTTTCTGTCAAAAATCCACAAAAAATGCTATAGTGTTGCTAAACAACAAATATGTTCAACGATGTTGTTCAATATTTCATCTTTGTCCAAAATACATCTAAAAACTAGCTGTATACAGAACCATGCACAACAAGCAATAGTGGATCCTAATTTTATTCAAAACTATTCGGAATGAAGTCTTCGATTGATTACCTGCAAATTTTTTTTTATGCCAGGTTGTGTTGCAACTTTTTGCTGAACATAAATTTGAAAATCCAACACCAAATGACTTGTGGAATCATCTGTGAACTTTTCATTCTGTCAATATAAAATTGTAGTTTTAAAAAATAATACTAACCTATTCATTATATATTCACTATAAGTGATATAGTATCTCAATCTAATATTAATTTGTACCGTATAAAATATTGATGGTTTTAAAATATCTTGTAAAAAGGTATTTGCTAAAACTTTAATAGAATAATTAAACAATAACAATAATTGATCCAGATTATAAAGTATGTTTGAAAATACAATTTTGCTTCAAGTCTTTGTTATCATTCCATATTGCAGAAAATGAAGTTTGTCTTACCGCGGCTAGGAGCATAGTAGACCAGTGAGTGATAAGACTCGCAATCTTCGAAAGGAAATATATCTTGTGGTTGCTATCGAATTTCTTTAGTGACGCAGATAGAAAAGCAAGCATCGCCATCATAATCACTACACATTCTTCAATTTTATCATCAGTGAATTTTCTGCATATTTTGTGAAATTATTACGATGCTGTCACGGAAGCTATTTGGATTTGTCACTAAGTGTGTTTCCATGGACAATATTACTAGGACGCACTAGGACTCACATTCCTTATATGGTCAATGATGTGACGTCATGGCGCGTCCTAGTATGTTCTAGTTCTTTATCGAGTCTTTGTCCTACTGAGTCCTAGTTTTCAAGGCGCTTATGCGGCATTTTCGGTTATAGCGACTTACGATGTTTCTCGCAGTTGATATTTTTGTGTCCCTTCTTTGTAGGGTATCCACCTGGGTTAAAATCTATCAGTTGTAAGGGCATTGCAAGAGGCGGTATATTTGATTATCTTTAGGAATATCACTAACGAAATGATATATAAAATGTAGTTGGGTCTCTGAAATCTTGATTGCATTGAAATAGATTGCGGTTTTGTGACCTAGTCCGCCCCAGTTCACACGCCCTACTGCGTCCTAGTCCGACCCAATGTGGCCCAGCCATGGGGACACACCTCCCATTGTCTTAATTTGCTGATATAAATACGCACGCTAACAGACCATATATTATTTCTGATAGAAGCAGAAAAAAACCAACAATAATGTCAAAAGATATTTGCTAAGCACCTGTCAAATTCCTTGATCTTTGCATAATGAAATATCTCGTCAAATAACTTTTCTGATTGTTCAATTATCGTCAAAGCTTTGTCCTTTGCCTACATATTAGAAAAGTAAATTATTCAACTTGAAACATGTTTTAAAAGATGGATAAATGACGACATATAAGCTGTCAATGGACTTCATTGAAACAAACATTTTGTTATTAAAATACAAGCTAACAGTTAAACTTCTGAATGTGGAGAGAATACTGATATGAAATTTTCATGCAACTGACGTGTTAAGTGCTATATATATGTTTATCCTTGAGACAGATTTATTGAATCAATTCAT